GCACATGGATTGTCACTTGTTGGCGTATATGAGGGAAATCCCTCATTTTTCTATCGACCATTTTTGAATGGCGCAGGGCTTGTCTGGACGATCTAGCTACCCTAGATGGTGAAAGGAACATCTACCATCAAGGACAATTGTTCCCTACTTGGGATAGTTTCGGGGATTTAAACGAAGGTCACGGCATGGGGCTGAGGTAGATGCCTAACGTTTAGGATGCAGCAGATGGCTGTTATCTAGAGGAGAGAGAGGACTGAGTAAGTAGGTTAATAATGGGGATAATTAAGGTTACTATGTGGGTTATGTGGGTTATTAACCTACTAAGTTGCCCTGACCCTCCAAGTAGAGGAGAGAGAGGACTGTTTTGACGTGTTTTCATCAGCTTCCTACTAATCGGACTGCAAAATCGGCTTCCAGGTGATTGCTAACATGACCCCGGCCCCAAACCCTGTACCCTAAACCCTAAATACTAGACGAAGGAAGGATGGAGGTTTGCCATGCAATGCCTCCACGTTCCGAGATAGTACCCTAAACCTTAAACCCTATATACGGGCTATAGTGAAAACTTCTAGTATCCCCCTCAATGAGCCCTATAGTAGTCCCCTATATAGCCCCCTGTAAGGAGTGTAGACTATAGCTTATATGAAGGTTCCATCGAAGGATTCGGATGATTGAGGAGGCCGCGTACTTGCTCAAGCAAGGTCAGCAGGACCAACGTAGCTCAGGTAACTGCATGTATATTTGAACCTTAAACCCTGTGGCCCTAAGTCTAGCAATACTACACTACATTGGGCCCTGATATCTGTAAACATTACATAGGAACGTCCTGCAACGTAAGTTGCCTTCTCCTTGATTTTGGGGACGCAGTCTTGGAATCTTCATCTACCCTATACGCCCTTTTCCTTGTAGCTCCCTATGGGTTGGCGCACTCCAACTTTTCGGGCTCCTAATACCCTAAGCTGTCGAGATTCTAGTACCTGGCATTATTCGAAAACGTGAACCCCCCAAGGTCCCTGAGTCAAAACAAATCCTGCGCAATTGCCTGTGAGCAAAGCTACTTTATGCTGCTAAGTAGCCTTGCACAGAACCGCAGGTTCTAGTTCATGGATTACACAATTATCTGCTTTGTAATCTCGGGGTACGTTCATTAAGCGAACTTTGGCCAGGAACTGCGCGTAAATGATAATTGCTTTAGTTGCGAAACATGGTATGAAAATCCAATGAGAAGTCTGCAGCTCCGAAGGCGCATACCCAAAGAGGTCGCAACAACAATGAGATTTCGGGCCCATATACTCCGTCAACATATCCTCTTCCTCTTCTTCTTCTTTTTTTCTCTTCTGTTTCCCCTATAATACCACTGCCAGACAGCCGGCGCCGGAGACCCAAAACCCAAATTATCGGTAGATTTGCAGGCGTCTATAGTACTCAGTGGGCCGGCCCCGGAGTGAAGACCCGACGCCTAGACCCTGACGCCGAGACCGTTAGCCTTCCCAAAGGGTCCATGGTCCATGTAGGAAGATAGTATATACTTAAGGTCCAAAGGAACTTGGGTCCCAAGTACATACTATATATAGCTACATGGACCCCTTGGGCTTGAAAACTTTGAGGCCTCCCCAATAACGTAGCGGCTGCCATTTTCTTACCACCCCCAAACCTTCAGCTGCTTGAAGGCCAGGTGCACAGTACAGCCCAAGCAGCAGCCCACCGCGCCATGATGCGGTTTCAGGGTTTAGAGTTTATGAGCCCTCCCCAACAGGTCCACCCATTACGGCCCCTAGGAATTAGAGCTTAGGAGTATGGTTCAGGATTTAAGGGTTTTGGGCTTATGGTTTCAGGGATGTAGACGGATGATTTGAAGAGTAAGGGGGTATCGTTTGATGATGTTTCCGCCATGTTGGGAATTTTCAATGCAAGTCCCATCAGTATATAAAAGACTTAGGGGCCCAAAGCTGCTCGTAGACTCAGAGAAGGCGCAACATCAGGCTCCGTACCTCTTGATGCGCCGCAGCTCGCGGGACAAAAGCAGGGCTTGCCATCAGGAATTTAGCCATTGCAGTTGCTGGATTCTGAAATCTAAACTTGGTCAAAGTTGGAGGTACCTTATTGAAGGACCCCATAATAAGGACTGTAGTACATCGGGGTGCCCCTGTTTATGGAGACTACCACGTAAAGCATAAAACACCTGTAGTCTGTCCACAAAAATCACTTTCAACCACATTGATTGGCTTTCTAGCCCCAAGGTGCACTCGTGCGTTTTCTTTCTCACCCTTGTCTGCTGTAGCTTTATGTCGGTGCTTCCGTTGGATGTCTAGCATGTATGGGTGTTTCCCACAATTAGGGATACCTTTTGACAGGTCTCAATCATAAGGCTTGCCCTAAGGGTCCAAGTACCGAATAATCATATACTTACCCCAAACCTGTACTGTAATTACAATTACCCAAAACCCAAGCACCCAATTATTAGGTACATGGACCCTTAGGGAAATTATTCCTTTAGGCCCCTGTAGGTCTGAAATAGTATTGGTTTAGGGCTTTGGTTTTAGGATTTCAGGGTATATGCACCTCAACCCCCGCCGATGCACAAAAACTGGGATCAACCCTAGAACCCTTCAAACTTGAGGGTGGTTTGAGGTTAAGGGTTTAGGGT